AAACCCATGTGGTTTCACTGTGGTAAACTTCTAATGCTTTCAACACATATCAAGGTGAAATTCTGTCAACTTGAGTACTATTTGAATTTGTCACAAACCCCAACTCATTCATAAAACTCTGGGGAAGGTGTGCTGGCCCAGTGGTTAAAGCATTCGCTTGTCACGCTGAAGGCCTGGGTTCGATTACCTATATGGGTACAATGTATGAAGCCATTTATGGTGACCCCAACAGTGATATTGCTGGAATATTGCTGAAAGCAGCATAAAACTAAACTCACTCACTCACTTGGAAAAATCTGCTTCAAATGGCAATACTCCTTAACCCAGCATTGTCATATAGACCAGTTAAACAGAAGGAATATACTACTCATTTAAGTTGCAAAAAAACCACCTGCATTTTTCATTTGAGTACAATTACCGTTTCATGTGAGTAGAATATACTGTACAACAAGGCAGATGGACAGATCCAGGTTAAAACACATGGATCAGAGCTGTGTCCCTGAGGTATGTTGTGATCCTATGGCCTGGGTTGGAATCTCTTACTTCCTCTAATTATAAGAGCATTGGTGTGACCAGTTTAACCTATATAAACACCCATTTTACTAACATTCAGTATACAATATCGTTTGGAAAGCAATTTATGACACTGAAATATCTTATTTGGGATTTCACTGAATGATTAATACTGCCAGCAGTTTATGGATTGTTGTTGGTGCAGTAGTATATACACTCGGGGTACGAGATCAAGTCCAACAAAAAGCCTCTGTAAAGCTTCATTTATGAAATAAAGCTTTTGTCAGGCCCTTATCTCTCTCTGCTATTGTATATACCACTGTTTGATTCCCCAGTTAACTTCCTGGTCACTATGACCGCGCACCAATACTTTCCTGATCACGTGATGCTATTGTCGCACTATGTCGTGTTGACCTAGAGGAAACAGTTTAATGTGAATCGCCTATGAGCTCTTTGGTCTTCGTGATAAAGGCTTGGCGGGCTTGTTGTATGCCTTGTTCTATGTACTTTATTTTCTCGGCTTCGCTGACGGCAATCTTACGAGACTTGGACCGGATCTCTTGTTTCATTCTGTGATATTTTGCGAGTTCAGAGAGGACCAAACGAAACTCCTCCTCGGAGACTTTACTGTCAGTGAATGCCATTGAGATATGGTCGCTTACCGTGTTCAGCTTTGCTTCAGCTAGAACCCTGATCTCGTCGTGCTTCAACGCTTTACGATACAGTCTGCGGGATGCAAACTTAAACACCAACCCCATCAACCCTGACACCCCAGCTGTTATCTCGATGCCTAGCACTATGGGTGCGGCTACGATGGTGGCCAACAAACCGACACCTACCGCCCCTAGTCCCATGCTGGTTGTCATAAGGGCGGTATCGGCCCCGTCCACGACACTGAAAGCCCTATGGTACTTCTTGCATAACGCTGCCCGTCTGTCGCGGTCTTGCTCTAGGTGACGTTTTATGTCGCATAACTGCCTCAAGCGAAACCCGTCTACAGTTTCCAGTGTCTTCGCTACTTCCTCTACGACTGGGTACAGCCCCATCCTGTGTATATAATATATTCTATGAAATATCTTTTAATTGTCAAGCACTGTTTGCACAGTACTTGTTTACTTGTAATAACACTGCAATGTAGCTGAAGAACAACATCTATATACTCATTCTAATTTCCACTAATGTTGGGTCACCAGTAGAATCTCCATCTGAAGCATCACAGTTTGCTGTGCAGAGTGCTGTCCCTTAGGCATGTCATGATGCTATGGTCCTGGGTTTGAATCTCCGACTTCCTCTGATTATTATCCCCCACCACTAGTGGGAGGGGGATATTGGTTTGAGGTCTGTCCATCCGAGATGATGGGGCAGATTTTCTCAGAAATCGTAATAGATAGGAACATGAATGCCTGATGGAGTTTGAAAATGGAAACCGGTTACTATTTGTTACAGAGTTATGGCATTTGTCATGCGTTTCTTGACTTAGTGCATGGTATCCCGTATGGGGCCTATGGGGCATTGATATAGCTAAGTAGGCATTGAAACAGCCATGTAGGCCTTGATACAGCCAAGTGGGCCTTCATACAGCCAAGTAGGCCTTCATACAGCCAAGTAGGCCTTGATACAGCCAGGTAGGCCTTGATACAGCCAAGTAGGCCTTCATCCAGCCAATTAGGCCTTGATACAGCCATGCAGGCCTTGATACAGCCAAGGAGGCTTTCATACATCCAAGTAGGACTTCATACACAAGTAGGCCTTCATATAGACAAGTAGGCCTTCATACAGACAAGTTGGCCTTGATACAGCCAGGCAGGCCTTCATACAGCCCAGTAGGCCTTCATACAGCCAAGTAGGCCTTCACACAGCCATGTAGGCCTTCATACAGCCAAGTAGGTCTTGATACAGCCATGTAGGCCTTGATAGAGACAAGTAAGGCTTGATTCAGACAAGTGGGCCTTCATACAGCCACATAGGCCTTGATACAGCCCTGTAGGCCTTGATACAGTCAAGAAGGTAGGGATACAGCCATGTAGGCCTTCATACAGGCATGTAGGCCTTGATACAGCCATGTAAGCCTTCATGCAGCCAAGTAGGCCTTGATACAGCTATGTGGGCCTTGATACAGCCAAGTAGGCCTTGATATATACGTGTAGGCCTTCATACAGACATGTAGGCCTTCATATAGACAAGTAGGCCTTGATACAGACAAGTAGGCCTTGATACAGCCAGGTAGGCCTTCATACAGCCAAGTAGGCCTTCATACAGCCAATGTAAGCCTTCAGGCTTTCATACAGCCATGTAAGCCTTGATACAGACAAGTTGGCCTTGACACAGTGTGTAGGCCTTGATACAGACAAGAAGGTAGTGATGCAGCCATGTAGGCCTTGGTACAGCCATGTAGGCCTTCATACAGACAATGTAGGCCTTCATACAGCCAAGTAGGCCTTGATACAGCCATGTAGGCCTTGATACAGACAAGTAGGCCTTCATACCTTTAGCCATGATACAGCCAAGTGGCCTTCATACAGACAAGTTGCCCTTGATACAGCCATGTAGGCCTTCATACAGCCATGCAGGCCTTCATACAACCAAGCAGGCCTTGATACAGCATAGCGGGCCTTGATACAGTCATGCAGGCCTTGATACAGCCAAGTTGGCCTAGATACAGCATAGCAGGCCTTGATACAGGATAGCTGGCCTTGATACACCCATGTAGGTCTTGATACACCCATGTAGGTCTTGATACAGCCATGTAAGCCTTGATACAGCCAAGCAGGCCTTGATACAGCCAAGTAGGCCTTGATACAGCATAGCGAGCCTTGATACAGCCATACAGGCCTTGATACAGGATAGTTGGCCTTTGATACACCCATGTAGGCCTTGATACACCCATGTAGGCCTTGATACAGCCAAGTTGGCCTAGATACAGCATAGCAGGCCTTGATACACCCATGTAGGCCTTGATACACCCATGTAGGTCTTGATACAGCCATGTAAGCCTTGATACAGCCAAGCAGGCCTTGATACAGCCAAGTAGGCCTTGATACAGCATAGCAGGCCTTGATACAGCCATGCAGGCCCTGATACTGCCAAGTTATCATTGATACAGTATAGTAGGCCTTAGCCATGTAAGCCTTGATACAGCCATGTAAGCATTAATACAGCCAAGTATAGTCCGTTTGGCTCATGAATTGCAATCAAACTCGAAAACTAATAAACATAAAATGCTCAATGAAACACTGATCATAATCAAAACCTCAGACCAACTCTGTGATTTGTTTGCAGAATTTATGTCCTAAAAATAAAAAAGTTGTTTAACAAACTATCATTGAAATATCGACACAGGTCACTATTTGTTACGAGGAAGGAGTGCAGAGAAAGGGACAGCCAGGTGTGCGAGAAAGGATGGAGACGTGACAGCACAGGTTAATGAATCAATAACGTTGTCGGCACTTGCTTCTCTAACACCTGGCTGTCCCTTTCTCTGCACTCCTCCCTCGTAACAAATAGCGAACTGTGTCAAAATTTTAATGATAGATTGTTAAACAACTTTTTTAATTTTAGAACATAAATTCTGCAAACAAATCACAGAGTTGGTCTGATGTTTTGATTATGACCAGCGTTTCATTGAGTATTTTATGTTTATTAGTTTTCGAGTTTGATTGCAATTCATCGGTCCGCATTTGAGCCAAACGGACTATAGGTTCAGAGCAGGGTACAACACATTGACTCATTTAACCATGGGAAAGTTTTCAAGTCTACTTCAGTATTTTTCATAGTTTGAAATCAGACATCTAGGAAATTGTCCTCTTGAATACAATGTGCATGTGGTCTTTTTATAGTCACATTAGTAGAAATTCACCTGTGCCCCATGTCAATAAGAAGCATAATTCCTGTCTCATAAACATCATACAACGGCGAGATACAGTTGCTGTACACCCATTTTGCTAATTTTCGGTAAAGAAATAACCCTTGGAAAACAATTTACAACGCTGAAATATTAAAAAAGAAAATCTTTTAATATCTAATATGTCACATTTATTGCACAAGAGATTTCAAAATGAGTGGTTTAAAATAACTGTTTGAAACATATTTATCTTTCAAAGATAATGACCACTGACATTTTATCCTGTCAGAGAATCAGGATTATCCTGTCCCGCTTCCCACCAATATAAAACCCCATGCCATTCGTCTCACAGAACCGCGTACGGGCCTGCCACTGTGTGGACTAGACTACATCCGTAGGCTTGCACTGAGTTGACCTTTACGTGAAGCATAGACTGCGCTGAACCTCGTGTATCAAATACCATCCTTATTAAGTATGTTGTCACAGTTCCATCTGAAATATTATTATATTTGTCATACTAGTTTATTTCACGAAATAACAAACAATATTAACACAATTCAGTCGACTGTGAGACGTTTCTATTTATAACAACCAATCGCAAGAATGGATTGTAATTCCGTGATTCACAATGCAACAGGGAAGGGGAACCAGTCTAGACTGGTGTGCTTCACATGGTATTCACGTTTTGATGCGCATTACTCCGAGATATAGATGGTTAATGCGATAGTGTTATAAGAGTGAAACTGACAACATATGAATGCAAGCGAAGAAAGCGGTAGAGGACGGTCATGTTTGTTTGTGATCACATGGATTATATACGTAACGCTCAGACCATGCGGGGTCTCCTAGTAGCGTGCCTGTTCTGTTGCGCTGTCTCACACAGCCCATATCTTCAGGTATTAAACGGAACTTTTACATCCGACAATAATGGTTCTACGGAGGGTGTGGAAGATGGACATAACCATGGTAACAGGACAGTAACAATTTCCAGGCGGAATAAGGGATTACATTTTTCGTCATTATTGATGTCACTGTATTCGGAGTCCGAGATATTGAAAGTGAACGACTTCCTACGCATGTTGAGAGAGGTTGGTGTGCCGTTAGGCGACAATCATCGACATCAGTCTAATCATCATGATCAACAGCGGAGACCAGAACCTAGTGCAGGCAACATGCGACGCCGTGAGAGAGATGTCACAAAGACGAAACAGTTACCACGTGGATCTAAAGCGACACATACTACGGGGAACAGGGACGTCAAGGACCACATGGTAATAAACCACTGCATTTGTGTGTATTCCTTACTGTAGACAGTTAACTGTTTTATATATAGATACAGGTACATCACGGAATTTAAACTATGTCTCGTTTGGTGTCCGATATCCTAACAATTTCTTTGTTCCAAACTCACGGTTTTTTGTTTGGAAATAAACCAAAGGGTGTCCACAAGTATCGTAATACATAATTCAGCATATTTCAACTTAACTCTGCCAATTTATGGCGTTGTTAAAATAATATTTTAAAAATATTTTTTGATTTGCTGACAACACGTGTTTTTGTTTTACAAGTACATACACGTAATAAGACACATAATTTAATTTAGATAATTTTAAATTAAATTCAGGTAATTAATATCGGTATTAGAGCATTCCTTCTCGGTACAGCTGACACTTAAACGCCGCATTTAGCAATATTCCGGCACTATCACGGCGGGGGACACCAGAAATGGGCTTCACACATTGTGCCCATGTGGGTAATCGAACCCAGGCCTTCGGCGTGACGAGCGAACGCTTTAACCACTAGGCTACCCCACCGACCCCTGACACTTAAAGCTCGTATGCACAGTGGCCATTTTCTAAGCTTAACTTTAAAGTTGATTAATATACGTTGTTTCCTCAAATTGCATTGGATTTATTCGTAAAAGGATTTATCTGATCCATACCCTACCTCAAAACTAACCCGAAGAGGTACCTAAAGCTAAGGATAGTAAAGGGATGTTTGAGTAGCAAGTGGTGCCCAACGCTAAAGATCGCGAAGGGCTGTTAGAACGGAAAAGGAATACAGGTGATAAGGAGAAACCTTGATGTAACTGACCCTAACTCTAACACAACAAACTCTTCGGATCGAAGAGGCACGCGAGATCTGTGAAGCGGGAGCCGGCGTCTCAGCCAGTTAGAGCCACACTAAGCTGCGCCCGGTAAACTGCACTCGTGCACCAGTCTCTATTTTTTCAAATATCTAGCGCGAAGTTCCCGAGGCAGTTGTGCAGCTGTCGTTCGCAAAGGGCCAGTACGTCGACCTTTCTGCAGCACTATTTGCAAACAATAGCCGTTAACCGCGAGCTGACTCGACTTGGTCCGCCTTTGTCCGCGAGAGAAGTTTCTGCATTAGTGGGTGCGCCGCGGGTGCCGGAGAGTACAGTTTTACACATTAAAGTGGCTTCTTAGGACTTTGAGACAACCCGTACTTGGAAAAATACGCAAATTGAGTTGGTTTTTTCAATTTTAGGATCTTATTTAAATGAAACCTAGACATTTGTATAAATTTGTAGCTTCGTCAAAGGAGGAAAGCAGATAACATACAGAGGACCGAAACCGGATTTTACACCACTGAAACAAATACGGAAGGAAAACCATGCCATGACTGAATTTGCGTATGGTTCCCCGTATTAACCAACTTCGTCGTATATTTCATATGAAGCAACGCCTTTGAAACTTGTGCTCATCGCATTTTATAGGGAACATGAACTCAAAAGTTGATACGTCAGAAGGTATTATTGTTCACAGAGCATTTCCATTACATTACTTTCAATTAATGGGTACAGAAATCCGATTCCTAGTAAGGGTTTGAAATATGGACGTTTCTTTAAGCTGGGAAACATTTGTAAATTGATAATATACATAATCTTACCGACCCTCTACATCCACCCATCCACCCATCCACCCATACTGTATATAAACATACAATAATACTTACCAACCAGATTAACCACACAGTATACCACTGCACGAGATTAACATCTAGTCTCTGACATGAACATATAATACAGAAGAAAAACGGTCCCTTAAGTATATACAGTCGAACCCCGTTTATCCGGACATTTTGGTTACACTCAGAAATCGTCCGGATAGCGAGGCGTCCGGTTAACTGGATCAAACAAGCAAAACGTATTGCCGATGTATATCGAAAATTTATTCATGTACATGTATATATATATATCAATAAATCAATAGTCAATAAGCAAAAACAATTAATCATAACATATACATAAGTGATCGTAAATGTACCAATGAACAGTCTTTCACCATATTGACTCACATTACATCTTACTTCACTTCACTCAGTATCTTGACATTTCCCATGAAGCACATTTATTTCTTTAAGCACATGCGCACAGATGTTTCCGTCCGGATAATCGGATCACTTTTCATTGTAATTCTATGGGAATGGTTTGAAACTTCTCCGTCCGGGTCCGGAAGCGCGGGGTCCGGCTAAGCGAGTACAATTAATGAAGGTAAGTTTCGTTTCACCGAAAACTCGTCCGGAAGGCGGGGTTTCCGGATATACGGAATAAAATAAATGAAAAGGAGCCCAGGGAATTTATCCTGAAACTGTGGTAATCTAGACTTGCCACATATTCTAGACTTGAATGGGTTGTACTGGGTGTATTTATTTCAGGATCTGTATGACAGACTACCAGTGCAGTGTGCTGTTACCTTAGCCATCAAGGCTCACTCTATTTAGATACCACCAAGAGCCTTGTTTAGCAACAGCGTTATGTAAGCTGACATTTTCCCATTAGGTCACCAAATAAATCAATTCTCTTCAACCGGTTGTAAGCTCCTTACGCAATTGTGAGTGAAGGGGAAGACACACAGACTGAGAGCACTTGAACCATTTACTCGAGTATTATCATTCACATTGGGTTTGGATATTTCTTTGGGATATTTAATATCTACTTACTTTCTCCTAGCCTATTAAACCGTCGAATGAAACCGATCATACGTCTATGCTGTTTAAAGTTTCAACTTCTAATCATCATGTGTATGCGTGTAGGACGACGTCATAACATCTTTGAGAGGCATTTGTAGAAGTTGTGTAGATGAAGGAGAACCATGCAAGGAGTTCTATGGATAGTCAACTTCTTTATTGCAATGAGTGCGACGTTTCGGTGTAGGTACTAACAGTTATACATGTCCAAGTTTTAATGCATGTTGTATGTTTCAAACCTGTCAGCCGTCCATCAAGCGTTATAATACGGTCTGTCGAAGCGTACTGTTCATAGACAGGTATATATGGAAGCCTGTTAGTGCCACAATCTAGGATATTCTTGATATACTTTCATCCACGTTTGAAGATACTTTCACCTGCTTCAACAACTGTAGACCCTCTATTTTCTATATTTACTAGGACTTAGGTTACGTAATGTTCACACATCCAATAAGAATTAATAATGCGTGGTTGTCAAGACATGTTGTTTATTGATAGCTGCTTATTACTATATGTCTAAAATATTTGTTTCTATACAAAATTCTATCCTTTTGAATGCCATTTTGGGTATGAATTTTATAATGTGACCTTCCCGTCGTTGTTCTGAAACATCTTTGTAAATTTGAGAAATAACATGAAAATGCTTCTAGTTATATTATTCAGTCTACATGGAGCACTTGTTTTCTTGATCGCGTTAAGTTCAGCAGGAAAGAAGCGACCGAGTATGTAAAAACAACAGAAACGGCTCCGCCAACGCAAAAAAAATCTCCAATGTGGTCTTAAGTCATTTGGGTGGGTGGGGTGTCCCCCACCCTCCACCCCCCTGGATCCGCCAATGATTATGTGTGATCTCGTCACACATAAAACGCATGGAGTTCGACATGAGTAGGCGATTGGGTATTAAATGTAACTTCGACATTAGGAAAGATATAGTGACAAGTGTAATTGAGAACTATATACACATGAGTTCCACCTAAATCCATGGGCGATTTTTAAAATGTCCAAACATTTCTTATTGGAAATGCACTTGTAAAATACGCAGCCGACATGTTCGCGCCATTCACATTGGGCTTTACGTTTCATGATTGCAGAATGAAGACTTCAGTTTTCTGACGTGATTTTAAAGACGACACTACTAAAAATAACTTTTCTTAAGGAGACGTGGACAAAACGAGACATACATGACCCAGGGATACATTGTTGCAACACAAACTCTGACGTGTACATTAACCACATCGTTATTGGTCGATTTGTGAGGGCAATGTGGTCCAAACAGGCGATCATACCCTAGCGTACAGGAATTGACATGTAAAGCACATGCTTCACACTATATCTCACAAGTACGAAAGCCCAGAGGGGTCAAAATGATTTTTTGAATTTTCTGTTTTAAAATTGGTAATAACCACTTTTTTTCTGGTAATTACCACATTTTTCTGGTAAATACCACGTTTGAAATTGATAATTACCACTTTTGAAACTAGTAACTACCACTTTTTTCTGGTAATTACCACATTTGAAACTAGTAATTACCACTTTTTTCTGGTAAATACCACTTTTGAATTGAAAAGTATATTAGAACTTTTAAATTTTACTTATTCTTATTCATATTCATTTTAATAAAATATAATCTCATCCCGGTGTCTTCTGATATCAAATATATCAACACTCGTTGATAAAAGTAAAAATATCATCGACAATCCTCGGGTATTTGTAACTTTATCATCTTGTGGTGATATATATATGATATTAAAAGACACTCGGTGAGATTCTCTATATATTAAACGAGTAAGTCGAAGTTTAATCATCAGTCAGATTCTAAGTATCATAAAAAATCACCCTTCATTAGTTTTCAATAATAAAGTATACATCTCTGAACATAGTTCTGCCATTAAACTTTCACAGTAGCGATGTCATAGCATTGTGATGTCATCAGGTTTTTGACGTCATAGCATTATTAGTCATGCATTGACGTTAGAGGATTGTATGAAATCTATTGTCAAAACGATATCTCCTAGCAGACGTCGTTTGATCTCACACAGGCAATATCTCCGGTGGAACACAGTTTTGGATAATAACTAATGTTATTACCCGCCCGTGGAAGATACTGCAGTGTAATATTTTACGGCAATTAAAGGGCATCAAATTAATGTGAATAAGAATAAGTACAATTTAAAAGTTCTAATTTACTTGTTTCAAAAGTGGTATTTACTAGAAAAAAAGTGGTAATTACCAGTTTCAAAAGTGGTAATTACAAGAAAAAAGTGGTAATTACTAGTTTCAA